AGCGCGGATTCGTGTACGTGTACGTCCGTCCTTCTCTCGCTCCCGAAAGACGCGAAAGCCATGGCCGGGCTGGGCTCAGACGTGGCTCTTGTCAGAGGTGGATGTAGAGGGGGAGGGGGATGACGAGAGACCGCAAATCGGCACCACGCAGGGCGTTTTCTCCAGCAGTGCTGTCCTTCAGCCGTGAAGGAGGAAGAGGAGGATGAGTAGGAGGAGGAAGAGGAGGAGGAGGAGGAGGAGGAGGAGGAGACGTGGCTCTTGTCTTCGGGCCACTCCCTGAGCCTAATTGGGTCGGGACGGCACGTCGTCGCCGAGGCCCGCCGCGGCCAGGAACGCCCCTTCGTTCCTTAGCCGGCGTTGCGCATAGGAACGAGATCCTCCTCCTCCTCCTCCTGCTCCTCCTCCTCCCCCTCCTCCTCCTCCCACGGGGAGTGCGGCAGTCACTTAGTGAGTGCGCCAAGTAAGTGCCCCAGTGCGGCAAGAAGTGTGCGTCTGCTTTTGGGACGGCACGTCGTCGCCGAGGCCCGCCGCGGCCAGGAAAGCCCCTTCGTTCTTTAGTCGGCGTTGCGCATAGTAACGAGATGACTGTAGGACGGGGAGTGCGGCAGTAACTTAGTAAGTGCGCCAAGTAAGTGCCATAGTGCGGCAAGAAGTATGCGTCTGTTTTGGGAGGTTTTCTCGCCTCGGGATGCTTTCCAGCAGCAGCTGCGCCCCGTCGAAACCTTTCCGGGGATGCCCGGATCGCCGCGAACGGCCGCCAGATGCAAGAGTTATGGCCAGAAAACCACTAGGCGTCGAGGGGCGTGAGGATGGGGGGAGTGGATTTCGTGGCAGGGCCGATGAGATCTCCTAGGTTTCATGGCCCTCCCTTCTATTTTCAATTCGTCCTTTGCCTCCCCCCCTCGTCTGCTCTCGTGCCTCGGGTTATGGTACGATTACCCCCCCTTCCTGGCTCCCCCCACGGTCAGGGACGTCTGCTGAGCGTGTCGCGCCGCCAGTTCTGGCCCACCACGCTTCGGCCCGACACGCTAACCACGTCCCGACTTCAAGCGTCAACATCCAACGCCCCGAGCCCTTCCCAGCCTCCCGCCCCGCGGAGCGGAGTGGCGCGCTATCCGCTCGCAGGGCTGGCTCGTCGCTGGGGCCGCCGCCGCGACAAGCTGAGGAAGAAGTTCCTCGCCCGCATTCTGCGCGCCCGAGGCATCGGGAGCTGCGGCACCTGCGCCGTGGAGATCGACGGCGCCGCCGAGCCTGCCGCGTGGACGTTCCAGGAGCGGGCGCGGCTGAGCCTCCCGCCGCACACGGGCCGCGCGGCCCTGCGCCTGGCGTGCCAGGTGAGCGTGGAGGGCGATCTCACCGTCACCAAGCGCGACGGCGGCTGGGGCCAGGGCAAGGCCCTGACCGCCGCCTCGCCGCTGGCGGGCGTGCGGTACCTGGGCGACCTCGAGTACGCGCTCGACTCGCAGTCGCCGCCGCCGCTCGAGGAGGAAGAGGAGGAGGAGGAGGGGGATGAGGAGGAGGAGAAGGAGGAGAGAGGGGAAGCAGGACGAGGAGGAGGCGGCGGCGGCGGCGGCGCCAGCAGGAGCTCTTAGGGTCTCGGCGGCGGGGCCGTCGTGCGGGAGCAGCCTCGGGCAGGCAGAGGGGCGGCCGGCGTGCGGCCGCGGCACGGGGTCCCCGGAGGAGCCGCGGCGAGGGAGGCACGACGGCCCGTGCCCCCCGTGCGACGGCGCGCTGCCCGCGGCATGCTCGCGGCGCGGCGGCGCGGCGGCGGGTGGCGGTGGGCGGCGGTGCGGCGGCGGCGGCGGCGGCGGCGGGTGGCGCCGTGCTCGGCGTGCGGGGGCAGCGGGCGGGCGGAGTGCCGCGCGTGCTCTGTGGGCGGCCCGTGGGCGTCAGGGGGGAGCCCTGGCAGCGGAGGAGGAGGAGGAGGAGGAGGAGGAGGAGGAGGAGGAGGAGGAGGTGGCAGAGGAGGAAGAGGAGGAGGAGGTGGCAGAGGCGCGACGCAGAAAAACGGATTCGACTGTGCCGACGTTCGCGCGTCGGCTGCCTGCAAGGTCGCGCGGCAGACCGTTTCTTTTAGTCGCTCCGAAGAACAGGATGAGAAGGAGGGGCAGATGAAGAGCGACGGAGGAACGAGCAGGCACATGGTCACGATCGGAAGCCGGGGCAGAAAGAGCAGGAGGAGCAGGCGGGTCCGAGGAATGCGGAGGAGTGGAAACATGCATGGTGGGGGTGGCGGCAGCCTCGAGAAAGGCATCATAACCAGAAGTCTGGCCCATGCTGCGGTGAGGGCGCCAGGTTGGACGACGGAAGCAAGGCGCTGGTATGGACATGGGACCTTTTGTTGAAACAGATGTACCATCTCCCAAAGACTGGTGGAGTTTAAATGGACAGCCCCACGTGAGTCACAAGTATTGCACCCTGCCTGTGGTGTAACAGTACGTGGGAGAGGCGGCGCCACGTCCTGACATATGGAAATCATAGCTGGTGGGGGCGGAGAAAGGGAGGAGCGGACGAGGGAATGGGGGGGGGGGGCGAAAGAACGGGGAGGGGAGGGGAGGGGAGGGACGAGAGGGAGAGAAGGGAAGGGAAGGGACAGGGTAGGGAAGGACAGGGAGGAGGGTAGAGGGGAGGGGAGGACGGGGGAGGAGGGGAGGGACGGGAGGGGGAGAGAGAGAGAGAGAGAGAGAGAGAAACAAAAAAGAAGAGAGAGAGAAAGAGAGAGAGAGAAAAACAAAAAGAGAGAGAGGGGAGGGGAGCGGAGAGGAGGGGTGACTCGCTCGTTCCCCAGGCCTCCGTCGATCACACTTTGGCATGGTCGGACCAAGGTATAAGATAGAGATCGGTTCGGGGAAGATCCCCTGATATTCATCGTGTTTGTTGGATGCCCTTGTGCATCCTGGGGAGGATGCTATCGAGTGACCTTGTGGTTCGCGGTGTTTGGCGGATGCTGTTGTGTCCTAGGTCCGAGCGTACGGTGTTACGGTGTTTCGAGTCGTTGTGCCCCAGACCTCTCGACCCATTCCCAGTGGCCGTCTTCTGACGACCCTGGGGCCAGGAAGCGGCCACGAGACGCAGGCAGTGGCGACAACACATTTGGTTTGATCCGTTCCAGGGTGTGGGCCCTCCCCGGATCCGCAGGGGCCTTAGGGAGCTTCTGGAGGTTCCCGGGGTTCCAGGAAAGCCTCGGGGGTTCCCAGGGGCTGCCGGAGGCCCCCTCAACTTTAAAATCTTAAAAAAGAGCATCGGATATCCTTGTCGCCTGGACCCGAGGCTGTAGAACGCGCCTCCTTGATTGATCGGCCGATCGCCTTCGCGATACGGGCTCGCCTTGTTAGGATCCTCTCCTCGTCGCGGTCCTCCTTCCTTTCATCTGCTCTCTGTCTTGCTGCTATGGGTCGGCCCACCTTTTTGGAGTGCGCGCGCGTTTTTTATCCGAGTCCAAACCAGAACTGGGCATGTCCAACAGCCTCCCCCTCGTCGTCGTCCTCCTCCTCCTCCTCCTCCCCCTCCTCCTCCTCCTCCTCCTCCTCCTCCTCCTCCTCCTCCTCCTCCTCTAGCTCCCCACACAGGGCAGGACAGCAGGTATCATCCCAAAATTGAGCACTGGTTTCTGTTTCTCTGCGGCATATGCTGCACTTGCACACGTGAAGGCATATCAGGAGATCTGCGGCAAGGATACTGGATGGAAGGGATCTGTGATGTGACATATTAAGGAGTCAAGCAGCACTAGTGATAGGACGTGGCATCAACAATCAGCTCGGGACATATTGAGCTTGAGACGGACGTATACACAGGAGCGGAGGGAACACAATAGGCAGAGCGACAGCAATTCAGCCCATGATAACGGAGTGTGCTTTCAAACATGCTGTCCAATTGTACGCTATCGGTTGCCACGACTCAGTACGACAGGGCCCGCCTAGTACGGAACGACAGGGACTACCAGCAACATCGACCAGGCAACCCTGCCAACGGCTGCCTTCTCAATCGCGAAACGATGCTTGATCCTTCGTACCGCGGCCAAGAGGCTGCAATTGATAAAAGCAAGAAGACACAGGGACCATGTGCCGGTGTGGCTGGAGCTGGATATCATTACGGCTTGCTTTTTCACTAGCCGCAAAGGAGGGGGGAACCACAGTTAGACTGCGACCGCCTCATGGACTGTCGCAGGAACGGCACCAGGCGATCCTGTTGTTTTGCTAGCGTGGCGAAAAAGCTGGAGGCAGATAGAGGGAACTGATCGAAGACCTTGCACCCGACTTGGCCTGGACAGGGTTGAGCCGTCAGGCCAGGAAATCCTTAGACGAATGTTTCGGACAGGACGAACAAATGGTAGACGACGCCACCGCTCTAGTTCGAGACAGGAGTATGGCATTGCTTCGGAGGAGGAGAGAAGAATGAGGGAAACGAATGGAGGAATCCACCAGAGAGAGTTTCAAGAGCAGCAGGAGGATCTTACGAACACGACGGCGTTGCTAAAACATTGGGAAGTGAGAGGATCTGAGTTGGTCACAGCAACTTTGGAAGCCCATCGAAGAAACGGCTTCAGCAATTTGCGCAATATGAGAACACAGCACCAACGAAATGGCAGAGTATCCTAACATTTGTTGGTTCTGCGAAGCCACTCTGGAACAATGAGACGTGGATCTCGGGACCCCGAAACCATCCCAAGGAAGGTGGGATGGCTGCGCAGAGTGCCGATGTGACGGGGGTCGAGGGCGACTACCGTGGTCCGTTCAGGACCAGTTGCCGGTAGACGCAGAATTCAGGGGCCGAATGGAAAGGGTCAAACGGTGGAAGCTGAAATGCTGCAGGTGGGCGGCCAAGCGAAGAGTGTGGCCAAGATGTGGTGTGGAGCTGCAGTCGATGGTTCTCAGTCTTTCAGTGCACGTTGAACGCGCCGAGCGCGTGCTGCCCAGGGCCCGCGAGACCGCGGCGAGCGCGTCGACGCCGCGACCACCGAGTAGAACGTTGACCTCGTGTTCAGCGCCAGGGCCCCGCAGGGCCAGAAGAAGCGCGTCGAGATAAGCGCGGCCAAGTTTACACCGCGCGCTGGCACGGGCCCACAGGACGAGGCGGACAAGGAAGAGGAAATCATCACCAGCGAGAGCAGCAACCCACATCCTGACGACGAGGGCGCCACTCGCATGCCGCAACAGGGTCTGGGCGCGGCATTGGAGCGAATGCGACCCGAGCTCGTGGACCGCTTGCGGCTGGGCCCCAGGACCGAAGAGAAGACCAGCCCGAATTCAGGGGAGCACCCGGAGATCACCTCGCCCCGGGGACCGCCATGGGACGCCATGCGGAAAACGCAGGGGGGGCCAGGCTCGGCATCGGACGCGGCGACGACCCAGACCCCCACGCCCAAGACCGCAGATATGGCCATCCGTCTCAAGGCGCGATGGAGGGCCAGCAGGACCAAAGCAGCCCCAGCCATGCACAAGATTAAAGACCCCAGAGGCCCAGCAAAGAGCTCCACCCGAGAGAGCCAGTCGCCCACCAACAACCTTTCTACGACTGCGCGCGCGCCAGTTCGACCGCTCCGCGGTTGGAAGAGACCCCGCCCCCTTTTTGCTCGCGGCTTCAGCCCTTTGGCGGGGCTTTGACCCATTGTAAGCGCGTGCTCTAAAGCTCCCGGCTTCGCCCCCGCGCCTCGGGGTAAGCGGAGGGGGGGGGGGGGGGGATTGCAGTGCTGCGGGGGTGCGACAAATAGATGCGGCACAACACCGTTTCCGAAGAACCGCATTGTCAATGATAGTCGGGCGTGCTTGGGCAGGCCTGCGTACTGGCTGGTGTAAGCGACGAGCTTCATGTTTCAAGTTCGCCTTGGCCCCTCTCGTATTCCTCCCCCGCCTTGCTTTGTTGCCTGTCGTGATATGCCCTGTCGCCCCCCTCCCGTCCTCGTCGGGCCCTGTCTGCGGTCGCCCCCCGTTCATTTCTTTTTCGCAGCAGAGACCTGGGTCGACCTCGACCCGCACGACCAGGGCCCATGGGGCCCTGCCGACTCCATAAGGTTTCTGATGCTTCACGGCAGGTGCGCGCCTACCCTGGCTGGCTTCGCCCACGGGGAGCGCGCCCCCGAGGACGGTCCGCCGGCGGCCGCTGGGGCCGCGAACAGCGACCGACCACGGACAAATGTCCGCTTCGAGAAGGCCGTCAGATTCGCCGACGAATCAGACGCCTCCTCCTGGCAGGTCTGCACGGGTGGTGAGCCGCCACCTTCCCAAACAGTGTCCCGAGTTTTGGGACCATTCGGTCTCTGCTTTTCACAGGTGATTAGCCGCGATTTTTGTCATAGTGCATTTTATATATATATATATATATATATATATATATATATATATATGACCAACTAATCGGCTGGAGGCTCGAGGCCACCTTTGGGTTCAGAGCTCCGACGTGGGCGGTGAGCCGTTACCGCCCCAAACAGCGGCCAGAGGCTTGGGATCATAATGTCGCCAATGATACCCGCCCGCCACACTTCTCCTTCTCATCCATTTGTTTTTTGTTATCCCTTGCCCCTCCTTGCTGCGCCCCGGCCCCAATCAGCAGCGGGTCGCTGTTACACCCGAGAAGACCTTTAAAACATTAGCCTGGCGAAGGACCCAACCATATGCAGTTGCGAATACTGCAAATGTCATCAGCGAATGCCATCTTCGCCCGCACTCCCTACGTGGCCACGGCTTCCCGCCGGAGCCCGACATGATCAGGAACACGTTCGTGGCCGTCTTCGCGGGCGCCGACGGCGACAAGGACGGCGCCCCTCTGACCGAGGAGTAGAAGCAGGAGAGGGCTTTGAGAGCCATGAAAGGAGAGGCGTCGGTGCACGTCGAGAAGGCGGAGTGCGACGCCCAGGCGCGGATGCTGAAGCAGCACAATTATGGGGCCACGATCCTCGTGAGGGGTGTGCCAACATGGCCTGGGGCCGCCATGGGAACCCTGCCACTGGGGATCTTCGGTGGGGCTCCCCACGGGGCCACGACCCTCGCGAGGGGTGCGCCGAAATGGCCCGAGGCCGCCGCGCGAACCCTGCCATTGAGGGCCTTCGGTGGAGCTCCCTGCGGGGCCACGATCCTCGTGAGGGGCGTTGCCGAAATTGCCCGAGGCCGCCATGCGAAACCTGCCGCTGGCGCCTTCGGTGAAGCTCCCCGTGGGGCCACAGTCCTCGCAAGGGGGCGTGCCGACGTGGCCCGAGGCCGCCGTGCGAAACCTGCTACTGGCGCCTTCGGTGGAGCTCCCTGGGGCCACGATCCTCGCGAGGGGTGTGCCGAAATGGCACGGGGCCGCCGTGGGGACCCTGCCACTGGGACCTTCGGAGAAGCTCCCCTATGGGGCCACGATCTTCGTGAGGGGTGTGCCGAAATGGCCCGAGGCCGCCATGCGCACTTTGCGACTGTCGCCTTATGGGGCCACGTTCCTCGTGAAGGAGTGTGCCGAAATGGCCCGAGGCCGCCATGCGCACTTTGCTATTGGCGCCTTCGGTGGAGCTCCTACGGGGCCACGATCCTCGTGAGGGGTGTGCCGGCATGGCCCGAGGCCGCCAATTCGCATTATGCTATTGGCGCATTCGGTGGAGCTCCTATCGGGCCACGATCCTCGTGAGGGGTGTGTTGAAATTGCCCGAGGCCGCCATGCGCACCTCGCTACTGGCGCCTTCGGCTGGGAGCTCCTATGGGGCCACGGTCCTCGTGAGAGGTGTGCCGAAATGTCCCGAGGCCGCGTTTCGCTTGCCACTGGCGCCTTCGGTGGAGCTCCTATCGGGCCACGATCCTCGTGAGGGGTGTGTCGAAATGGCCCGAGGCCGCCATGCGCACCTCGCTACTGGCGCCGTCGGTGGAGCGCTCCTATGGGGCCACGATCCTCGTGAGGGGTGTGCCGAAATGGCCCGAGGCCGCCGTGCGCACTTTGCTACTGGCGCCTTCGGTGGAGCTCCCATGGGGCCACGATTCTCGTGAGGGGTGTGCCGAAATGGCACGGGGCCGCCGTGGGAACCCTGTCGCAAGCGCCTTTGGTGGAGCTCCTATGGGGCCACGATCCTCGTGAGGGGCGTGCCGAAATGGCCCGAGGCCGCCATGCGCACCTCGCTACTGGCGCCTTCGGTGGAGCGTTCGTATGGGGCCACGATTTTTGGCAGGGTGATGATGGTGATGATGATGACGATGCTGATGATGATGGTGATGACAATGATGATGATGATGATGATGATGATGATGACGACGATGATGCGAAGAGGAGGGAGGGGGCAGCGGGAGGAGGAAGGAACGCGGGGCGTTGTTTTTTCTGAACGAGGACCCAACACCACAGGATGGTTGGGAAAAACACCAGGCGGGGTGGAGGTCAGGGCTGGGCCGATAAACCCCACGACCCCTAGCCGGCCCGTGCCGCGCACGGCCGCCTGGAGCTCGTCTCACCGTGAGCGCACGGCTCAAGAAGGCTCGGAACGCCGAGGCCGCATCCCGGACCTTCGTCTGCGATGCCGTGGAAATAGCCGCCTGCTGGCCACCAGTCAGACCCCCGCACTTCCTCCTTTCCTTACTTGTTGTCCTCCTCTGTTGTCTCCCTGCGCCGCTCCTCGGGTGCCCTCCTCTGGCCAACCGCCGCGGCTACGGCGGAGCTAAATATCAGGGGGGGGGGCACCAGGTACACGGAGGAGGACGCCTGACGCCCTACACAGCGCGCCCCGCGCCGGTTCCAGCCACCTGCCCCGGGAGCCCGCCGTTGCCACTGTTCCTTCTGCGCGCGCCCCTAGCTCCAGGCACCTGCCGATTGCCGCAAGTTGATCGTTCCAGGCGATGGTTCATCTAGCCGCTCCCTTCCCTCGCTCAGAGGCTGCGCGGAGCCTGTTGCGCCGGGCCCAGATGAGGGATGGGGACTGGGACGCTTAATGTATGGACCTGGGATGAGAGTGGGGGCCCAGGACGCGCACCCGAATAACTCTGAGGCCCCAGCCCTAAAGGACCCCCAGTGTGCCTCCCACCCCCGCGCCGCCTTTGTCGGACTTCAGGTGGTCGGCACACTTTGGTGCAGCCCGCCATCGGGGGGGGGGGGGGGGCACTTCGAGGGTTCTCGAGGTGGCCCGGGACCTCCGTCCTCTTCTCCCTTCCGCTCCTCCTCGTCCACCCGCTGCTCTCCCTTTTTCCCTGTCGCATCGCGTGCTCCTCCCTCCCTGCTGTGTTGGACTCGACTCTCGGGTCGTCACATTTCCGTCGGTCCCCTGTTCCTCTTGGGGAAGCCACTTCTAAGTTGGTGCGCCACCTTTTCAGCATCTGCTCAACCTCAAGGGTTGAGCGGGGTGTGGGTGCATTCGACGAACCTTAAAGCATCAGAAATCAAGAAGCAGGGGGTAGGCATTGGGGCCACTGCCACTTGTATCCTCTCCTGCAAGAGGGGGTCTCGGGGTGGAGAATCCCCGCAACCCCCGTGCCCCTGGACTGCCGCTGTTTTCAGGGAGCTTCCAGAGACCTGCAGGGGGAACCCCCCTTCCACGCACCGCCGTCACAGGGGTGTCCCAGGCAGGCGGCGGGTCAGAACCCAGCGGCCCTGCATCCATAAACAATGGTAGGGATACAAAAGTCGCCTGACCAGCCCTGTTGTGGTTAGGATCGAATTCATCCTCGAAACACCTCACCTGTTTGACCTCCTGCTCTTCCTCCTCCTCCTCCTCCTCGTCCTCATCCTTTCCCTCGTCCTTCTCTTCCTCCTCCTCCTCCTCCTATTCCTCCTCTTCCTCCTCGTCGTCGTCCTCCTCCTCCTCCCCTTCGTTCTTCTCCTCCTCCTCCCCCTCCCCCTCTGGGTCAGAGCCTGTCTGGGAGCGTTCCCTGCGGCCCGCTTGGCGGGGAGGTGCTCGAGTACCTGGATCTCATTTCCAGCGAGGACGGAGGCGGCCCCGACGTCCCTCACCGTCGTCGTCGCCGTCGCCGTCGTCGTCGTCGTCGACTTCCTCCTGCAATCCCTCCTCGCCTTCGTCCTCCATTTGCCTCCCGTTCCTTCACCTCGCCATCCCCCCCGCTCGCTGGCCTCCTCCCTCCTCGTAATCCTTCTGCCCCTCCCCTTTTGCATTCCACATCCTCCGCGCTCTTCCGGATTACGCTCCTCCTTCTCCTCGTCCTCCTCCACCTCTTCTTTCTCCTCCCTTTCCTGTTCCTCATCCTCCTCTTGGGTTGGTCGTGTGCTTGTTAGTTTTGCAGCCTTTGAGTCTGCCCTCCTCCTCCTCCTCCTCAGGCTCCTCTGCGTTCCTAGTCATTACTATTCATCCTCCCATCCTCCTTGCTCCTCGTGTTCCTCCTCTTACTCCTCCGCGCCCTTCGTCTCATCGCATACTGCCTCGTTATGACATGTCATTATCGTTTCGCTGCGCTGCTTGCATTGTCCCGGCTGTCGGCCCTGCTTGGGGCCCCAACAGCAAGCTTCAGTCCGCAGCCCCCCATCGGGCAGAAATCCACCAGTGCCTCCAAACAGACACCACACTCCTATGACCAGTGCGAAGGAGCCCGGCGGGGGGGAGACGGAGGCGGGAACGCCGAAGACGCCAAGGGGGAGAGGGGGAACGGAGGAGAGACGGGGCGACGCCCCGCGCGCGGGGCGACGCCCCGCGCGGTCCCGCGCCACTTGAGTCTGGGGGGCCTGGACGCGCGGCAAGCCGTCTCTGCAGGATGGCCCGCCGGGCGGCCTTGTCACTGCCCGCGCGCGCCGCTGGCAGCAGGAACAGCATGGCCGCCCGCAGCGGCAGTCATACACACATACACACACGCACACTTCCACTCATTTACACACACACACTCTTACACACAGCAAAACATGATATGCGGTCTCGCCTCGTTCGGACCGTTCTAGGCCCAGGAACCCCGCGCAGAGCATCGACTTGAGGGCTCCGACTGCGCACGGCGGCGGAGGAGGGGCCCCCGCTGCCTTCGCACCCGCGGGACTGGGGACGTTTTACTTGCAACGCCCGCCCTCGTCATTCCTCCTCCCCTTCTTCCGCCTCCTCCCTCTACAGTCAAGACGCTGAAATCAGAACCACACTGGGCTCAGGATGAATTTTGTTTTTCGGGCCGTTCCTGAGATCTAGGTCGGGGAACCTCTTCGTGTTCGAGGCTCGCCGTGGCCAGACATGCTCCTTTGTTCTTCATGTGGTGCTCCTTATGGCAGCATGATGGCTGTACCCCCCTTCCGCTCGTTCCCCCCTCTGCCCTCATCCCCCTTCGTGCGCTCGCAGCACTCGCTGCGATGCTTGGGAGGGATGAGGAAGGAGGCGGGCCCTGAGTTCCGACTTCGCGAACCAATTGAAATACCGTCAACCATGACGACTGGAGCCCAGGACCACATCCTTCTGCGGCATTCCTCGAGCCCCATCATGGATCTGTAGCCGAACGCTCTGTCAGCAGACCCTGCTCGAGATGGGGTGGCGCCTTTCGTAAATGAGAAGGTTGTGGTTCTCGGTTTTCCACTCGCCGCGAACAATCTGAACCGCCTGTCCTTTAGGGGACCGCTCCTCCTGGAGCTGGCACGCAGGCTCCTGTCCTGTCCTGTCCTGTCCTGTCCTGTCCATGATGGATCCGTGATGGCCCGGGGCCCGGAAGACGGGCACAGACTCGTTTGCTGCGCGCAAGCAGCGGCACCAGGGCCTCTGGGAAGGAGGCGGACCTGCACAGCACGTCGCTCGGCTCCCGGAACGGGGCACAGCCTCGTCTGCTGCGAGCAAGTATCAGGAGGGGGAAAAACACACAGACACAATTATTCGTCGATTCCCGGAAAATATGCGAAAATATGGGAAGTGGGGGGGAAGACAGAAACCCAGAAAATATAAGAAAATATGGGGAATCTTTCGATTTGTGTGTATTTATTTGTGTGTTTGTGGGCCCCTTCAAAGTAAGGCGGCACCCGGACCTCTTTGGAAGGAGGCGCACCCGCACAGCACGTCGCTCGGCTCCCGGAGCCGCTCCCGCGGCGGGGGCGCCGCCGCCGCTCCGGGGCGGCGCCGCCCAGGCCCCCGACGTCGTGGCTTCGCTGCAGCGGGGACGCGGCGGCTCGGCCCCTCCCCCAGTCGGGTGTGGCCAGGGCCTCCTCCTCCTCCTCCTCCTCCTCCTCCTCCTCCTCCTCCTCCTCCCCCTCCTCCTCCTCCTCCTCCTCCTCCTCCTCCTCCTCCTCCTCCTCCTCCTCGGTTGGCTCGAGGACGGCGGGCGAGGGCCCAGGCATCCGATATAGCCGCGAGGGCCCAGGCAGGGCTGCGTCGCACACGAAGGCGGGTAGGGGGACCCGGTTAGTGGTACAGTCGGGGCGCTGAAGAAGGAACCCTTTTCGTTGGGGAGGGGCTCGGCGTTCCTTGATTGTTTTACAGTTTTGGCCTTGGGTTTTCCTTAGGTTTCCCAGGGGAAATCGAAGTTTATCTCATGGGAAAAAGGGGCCTCGTTCCTTATTTAGGGTTCCTTAGGTCAACGCCCCGACTGTAGGGCCCTGGGGCCCCTCCACTGGCCAGATTCACTAAACCAGGTTTGCCGTAGCTGGTGTTCTCTCGGGTGACGGCAGTTCCGGTCAGTGGAACGGGGCGGGGGGGGTCCCCCAGTACACATTACTGAACCAGGTCCCATTGAACCCGGTTCTGCCAACGCCCGACCCAGGACCGGAGGGTCTTCCTGAGCCGTTGTTTGATTGCGCTGGGCCCCGGCGAGAATTGCGTGTTTTTGAAGCCGGATCGGGCTCAGTAAAACACGCGTGTTTGTGAAGCCGGATCCAGCCTCAAAAACACGCAGTTCTCTCGGACACGGCGGCTCGACCCCTCCCCCAGGACCAGATGGGCCTCCTGAGCCGTGGTGTGGCTGCGCGGGGCCCCGGGGGAGGGCCCCCCAGAGGCGGAAAACACCACGGGAGCCTCCCGCAGTCTGTTCCGTCCTCGCTGCACCCCGCCTCTGGTGCCCGAGGCCGCCTGCGGGCCCCTCACCCGTCGACTGAAGTCGGGCAAGTCCCTGTACAGGAGGGGTATCCAAGACTTGTCCACAAATAGTAGGGGAACAATTTCTCGATGTTTTTGATTTCAATGTATATGTGTGTGTGTGTGTGACATGTCTTACATTTGTCGTCCAACATCCGCCTGTAGGAGGACATGCCCGGCCTCAACGTCGACCCTAAACAGTCGGGTTTGCTCCCCTTTCCCCTCCCTCCGCGGCCGCCCTCGTCTCTTCCACCCTTGCTTGCGGCGCGCCCCGCCGTTGGGGATCTCCGCGCCTGCCGGCGCTGCCGATGGAACAGGCTGTTCTCATGTTGAGGGTGTTGCTGAAGGTGCCCCTGGCCCAAGGTGCCCCCCAGGATCTTGTTCAACGAGCCCCCCACGGCCTCCAAAGGACCCCTCACGAGGCCCAGAGGGCCGCAGAGGCTTCAAGATGCAACGAAAAGCTGGGGGGCACCTTGGGCCAGGGGCACTCCAGATCTCGTAATAAAAGGGAGGGGGTCTGGACCCTCCAAGACAAGCCATTTCAGACCCCCCCCCGTGGGAGAACCCTCCAAAACGTCGTCCCCAGACCCCCTCAGGCCCTCCAAGATAGCCTGGGAGAGACCCCCCCCCGAAATGAGACCCCCTCCCTTTTATTACGAAATCTGGAGTACCTGTCGCAACACCCGAGCGTTGTTGGGTCCTTGGGCCCGCCGCACCCTCGGCGCCGCCGCCGCTCCCGAGGCATGACCGTGCTCGGCAACGTGCTGTGCGACACGCCCCGCGCCCTGCAGGCGCCGCGGCGCGGCGCGCCGCTCGGCCCGCGCGCCGCTGCGCGCCTGGCGCCTCCACCGCTCGACCGGGTGGGATGCGGCTGGTCCGGGCGCAACAGCGGACCACAACCACAAAGGGGTGGATTTTCCGAGAGGGTGCCTCGGGGAGAACACACCAATTTCGACACGAGCATTTTGGTCGTGGTTGTGGTCGATGTGGCGTCTCGGGACGCCACATCGACCACAACCAGTACGAAGTTGGCTTCGAGGCTCCGACAGTTTTTGGCATGCGCAGACATCCCCAAGAGTATGTCCTCGATGTGGTCGTGGTCGCTTGCTGTCCCTTCAGTTGGGGGGCTGGGGTGCCCAGCACCTGTCAGGATACGCCCGTTCTGAAACGCAGCACTGCACCGTGCTCAAGACGTCCGTGTGGGCACGCTGCGTGTGGGCTCGGCCCGCGTTGGCCCGCGTTTGGGCAAAGCTGTCGTGCCACGCATACGTTTTCAATCTCCGTGTTGAACCCCGTGTCAGCACGCTGCGGGTTGCGTGTTGTGTGTTTGGGCGGATTAGCTGGCGGCGCCTCAACCAGGTTGGAGTAGGTTGGGGTGCTCGGGTGGCCAAGCACTGCCCTAGACAAGTAGTGCATTTTTAATCGTCGACTTGTTCGTTCTCATCGCCGTCGGCTGTTCGTCGTTGGCGGCCTCCTGTGGCCGTTTGTGGCCCCCGGAACCGTCATACGCGGACCCGAGATAAATGATTATCCCCAGGATGGTCCACTAGACGATTCTTCGACACGACCTGCAAAAGCTGCACTACGTCTCCAGGGGGGTGTAGCACTGGTTCCGACCAGCAGGGGAGAAAAAGGCCCCTCGTTGCCAAGGCTGGAAGCGGCCCGAACACATGGTAACATTGGACCCCCGGGAAGGTCCGAGGACCGATTTGAGCAGATTTGCCCTTGTCCCCATGTTTGACCGATCTTGAGTCTCTTCAGGAAGGGGAAAAAGGACAGACATCAAAAAAGCGTCGATGTCCAGGAACATGTAAGAACATATGGGAAATGGATGGGGAAAACGAACATCCAGAAACTTAGCATACGTATAAAAATTATGTGATCTACATCTACGACCACCCTGTGGGTGATAAGGAGGTTGGGGGGGCAGCAATGGGCAGTAGTGGTGATTGTTGTTCTGACGATGCCTGTGGTTCGCAGTCTAGTGAGTAGTGTGATTGTGATCGTGAGCGTGATGTGATGTGGCGATGTTGACGAAGCGCACTCGATGTGCATATCGATGTGCATGTCGATTCGCTTTTCGATCTGCATCTCGATTTGCATGTCGACGTATCGATGTGCATGTTGATTGGCGTTTCGAACTGCATCACGATTTGCATGTCGACTTTCATTGGAAAGCTCGCCGCAGGCGCTGATGTTCTAAATACGCAACCCGCGGCGCCTTACAATTTGCATTTGGATGTGCATGTCGATTTGCATTTCGATGTGTTTTTCGGTTTGCATGTCGGTTTGCATGTAGACTTGCATTGGATAGCTTGCCGCAGCCACGGCGGGACACCAGCGGGACACTAGCGGGACACCGCGGGCCACCTTTTGACAGGAGGAGCATCATTTGGTCCGGCCGCGACCCAGCCACAGGAGGATTTCGGGACACCAGCGGGACACCGGCGGGACACCGCGGGCCTCCGGCCGCCGGAGGAGAAACATTTGGTCCAGCCGCGGCCCAGCCACAGGAGGATTTCTTCTCGCCCGCCCACGCAGCTTCGCCTCGACCGCACGCACGCACGGCACGCACGACACGAACCCGAAACCGAAATCGATTTCCCGGTAGGGGGGGTCTCCGTTTCACGTCGGACTCACCCCCCAACCTCCGATGTCTATTGATTTGTGTGTCCCTGGGCCCCTTCCTCTATCGGGACCCATTCAGCGCAGAGGCGCCAAGAGCATTCAGATCAAGAGGTCATGACGATGCTCCGTGCCACGGATCCAAGATTCCCAAACATCTTCCAGTTCCGAGGGTTCCACACCGGCTGCAGGAACGAGAGCTGCTAGACTCGGATGTTGATAGAAGTGCCTCTCGACCACGGTGCCCCCAGGATTTCCAGGGAGGCGCCCACGGCATCCAGGGCACCCCATCACGAGGCCCAGGGTGCCCCATGGGGCTCCGACATCGATCGAAGGCGGGGGGCGCCTTGGGCCTGGGGCACCTTGAGCAGCCCCCGACAGATGCTCTGGAAATCCTGGGACGCACCCGTCGGTCTCAGCATAACATCACGATCGCGCTTCGCGCGGGCTGCGGCCTGGACAGCAGAAGGGTGCCCTTCTCCAAGTGGTGGCCCGGCAACTCAACCGCGGCAAGAGCGCGCAGTTCGCAAACTCCGCGGCGGTGCGGCGCTGGCTGTCGGCGCAGGCGTTGGGAATTTCCGCTGGCACCAGCTTCAAGGACCTTGGCGTCGTGGCGACCGCGGGTCGCCGGCGCCGCTGCGCGGTCGCGCCGAGCCGCTTGCTCACGGCGGCGGGCAGGTTCGCTCGCATCGGGCGCCTGCCAGTGGACTTCCGGCAGCGGCTGGCACTGCGGCAGGCATGTTTGGAGCCGCGTGCGGGCTGCCGCCGGCTCGCGAGCTTGCGGGGCTCCGCTCGGCGGCGCGGCACGCCGTCTGCAAGGGCGGGTTCCGCGCCGCGGCGGAGGTGGTCTTCGGCGTCCTCAGCCCCAGCTGGCGGCTGGACCCAGCAGCGGTTACGGTCATTGCGCCGCTGTGGCAGATCGCCAAGGCGTTGCGGCGCGGCCGGTTCCCAGAGGACCTTTGGAGGGAGGCGGGGGGCGCCATCGCCGCGGGGCACGGCCGTTGCCAAGGGCCCATCGCAGCAGCAGCTCGCAGCATGGCGGCTTCGCAGCTGGACGCGGACGCGGCGTGCTGGCAGGGCGTCCCGTCGGCGCCAGCAGGGTGGCGGCCCGCTGGCCAGGCCTTGCAGGATACGCGGGCGGTTCTGCTTGCGGCTTGGGCGCGCAGCGAGGCCCGTGAGGTCGCGTCCAGGCGCGCCGACTTTGCTCACGTAGCAGGGGGCATAGATCGGTGGGCCACCCGTCGCCTCCTGGAGAGCGGCGAGCTGGCCCCCGACGCCGCTGGCGCCCTTCGCGCAGTCCTGAGTGGCAATGTCGTCACCGAGACTGTGGCAGCCAAGTGGGGCCAACCCGAGCGTTGCCCACATTGCGGCGCTCCGCGGGAGGACCGGCAGCATCGGTTTTGAGACTGCCCTTGTTGGTCCCCGGCCCGCCGCGCGGCGCTCGCAACAGGGGGGTTCTCGCCCGCCGCCCTGCTGGCCCGGCTGCCGCCAGGGGTGGCTATTTCGGGCGTCCTCCCTCTGGACCCCCGGCTGGCGGCGGAGGTCGCAGCGGCAAGCGCGCCAATGCCGGCGCCGCCGATGCCGGAGCCCGCCGCGGCTCAGCCAGACGAGCCGCCGCGCTGCAGGGCTTGGACGGATGGAGCGTGCGAGCACCCCACGGACCCGCTGCTGTCGCGCGCGGGGTGGGGCTTTCAGCTGGAGCGCCCGGTGGTCCATGGCACGACGCGCACGGAGCATTGCGGGCCCGTGGACGGGACGCAAACCGCACAACGCGTGGAGTCGACCGCCGTTCTGCGCGCGGTCAGCGAGGCTGGCCAGCCAGTCGAGGTCATCACGGATTCCAAGTTCGTGGCCCATGGCATCGCGGCAATCCGCCAGGGCGCCTCGGCCTGGGACTGGGCGCATGCGGACTTGTGGGAGCGCCGGGCGCCTCACTGCAGGACCAGTTTCGCCATCGCGCGCTGGGTGAAGGGGCACCTCGATGACGAGGGGGCGGCAGCGCGCGGCGTGACAGCCGAGGACCGCCACGGCAATGCGGCAGCTGACAGGCTGGCTGGCACTGCTGCCAAGGCTCGCCTGCCGGCGGCGGCCCTGCTGCAAAGGCGGCTCGTGTCGCTCTACGCCCTCAGGGTGCTGCGGTCGATCCAATGACGCTGCCGTAGCCGCCGCGCTGGCGCGGCAGGACCCGCAGCAGCAGGGGGGCTTGGGCGTCGCGCCGCGGCCTGGGCCGGCGGCTGCTGCCCGGGCGCTTTTCGGGGGCGGGGCGTGGTGGGCGCGCGCGGCGTCGCAGGGACCCAATTGGGTCGCCTGTTTGCGCTGCGGCTGCTGGGCCCCGGATTGGGCGCGCCTCGCGAGTCGCCCGTGCGCCGGCTGGGTGCCCATCCTGCCGCCGAAGGCGGCCGCGCTGATGTTGCTCCCGCCCGCGCGGGCCGGCGGCGCCGAGGCTGCCTGGCGCGGGGTCTTGAGGCAGCGCTTTGCGGCGCGCCCGGGCCCCTCCGACTAATTAGGGGTGCGGCGGCGCCTTGGCTAACTAGGTGGAATTAGCTTCGCGGCGGTTGCCCTGGGCAGCCGTTGTCCCGCGCGCTCGCCGGGCGCGCTTTTTGTCCTCCTCGTTCCTCCTCCCCCTCCGCCGCCTCCTTTTCCGGCTTTTCCGCGTCTGCTCGTCACCCGTTCTTGCCGCTGGACCCCCGCTGGATTGCAAAAAAAACAGTGGCGACCTCGCGGGCGCGAAGGTAGCCGCGCGTCGCGCTGCGTGGGGCGCGATGCACGAAGCTAGGTTTAAGTCGGGCATGTCTTTGTACAGGAGGAATATTGTAAGATTCCTGTTCCGTTGTCTGAGGACGTAATTTCGACTATTCCTAAGTATTGTTGAGTATCGTTTGACAGTTTACCTCCGAAATCAGCCTGTAGGAGGACATGCCCGACACGAAGCAAGGTGGCTTGGTTCCGGGGGCGCCTGATGCTTCGAGGTTGTTGTTCAGCGTTCGTTGTTGCCCATCAGCTTTCCAGTCGCGGGATGGTTTCCAGCAGACACGCCTCGCCGAGAGCGTGCTGGTGGCGCCCGCGTCGTCCCGAACGGCCGCCCCGGGACCCAAGCGTGTGTTTGTTATTTGATAGAGTTCAGCCTCCCGGGGCCCTCGTTGGGCTTCGGGGCGGTCAAAACGGG